AAGTCACCTGGGAAAACTTTATGCTAATTATTCTTTACATAATCTTAAGCCCTGATCTAACAAACACATCCTTCCTTATTTTACTAAACCCTCTCTTTATTATGTTTGAGGCAGTCTGCAGAAAATGGTCTTAGGTATAATCAAAATTGTATGACAAGACTTCATACTTGTGTAGAAATTTACAGTTTTCCAAACACTTTCCGTTACGTTTTCTCTTCAGCCGTCCGCATTGGCCTGGGCAGGTGGTTTTCTCCTGTCTTACAGATGAGGAGGTTGAAAGCCAGATCATATGCTCATGAAGTGTTAGAAGCAGGAGTTGGTCTATTGTCTCCCAGCATGTAGCCCCGAGCTTTCTACTCTTCTCATCTGTCCCTCTTGTGGTTAAAAGAGTGTCTTTGGAAGAAGGAGGTCTCAGTCATTTGAATCAAGTAAAGTTGAAATAAATGATCACTGGGTGATGTGGTTCTCCAACTTGTTTGTAATCACTAGGAAAGTATGTTTAATTTGTGGATTGCCAGGCCCTATCCTCAGAGATTCTGATTTACTAGGTCTAGGGTGGAGCCGAAGAATTAATGAATATGCCAGGTAATTCTGCTGCGGCTATTACTTAGGCCACAATTTGTAGAACACTGGAAAAGAAAAGCAGGACTAAAATTTGTTGTTTTATGGTATGTTCAGAGCAATATGTTTTCTCATGAGTACGATCTGTATTTGTTAAGAGCAAGGGTAAGTACGACACAGTGGGGGAAGTGGTAAAAGTAGGAAAGGGACAATAGCAAGCCAACGGGCTGAGAGACCAAAAAAAAAAAAAAAAAAAGTCAAGGTGCACATGATACTTGAACTGCCTGTTAGTCTTTTTATAAGATACAGAAAGTAAATCCGAGAACATATTCCGTCAAGTTTGTATTATTTGCTGTAAGTTTCCAAGGTATTTTATATTGGAAAAAGAACTATATTGATGCAATTCCATATCTAGCATTGCCATTTGTTCTTTTTCTTCCACAGAAGGTGTTACTTTCTATTTTTTCCCTCTCTGCTCTCTAAACTAGGTAACCATTTGGTTGTTTTTAATTGTCACATTTGTTCTCATACCAACATGTTAAATGTAACTCGTTCAAGAGCCAAATCTGCAAAATTCTTTTGCTTCTTTCTGAAAAATCCACACAAAACTGAAGTGAAAATCTTTGTTTCATTTTTAGTTTGGGTTCTTCATTACGTTTCTAAAGTTACAGACTTATTACTGCCCAGGAGTAGGAGAGAATCCAGACTCACTTTCAGCCACTCATCATATTCTGAATATTCTGAGATAAACAATGCAGATAGAGACTGAAAATGCCATATTTTAAACATTAAAATTTACCTGTGCAGCAATATTTTTCCTGCATAGCCTATTTTCTTATTGACTTCAGTATAAAATTGGCAATGTCTTCTTCAAAATAAGATTTTGCTGCCAAGCTCTGATAAAGTCATGAGAAAGAATGTAATCCCTTTAAAATAGAAATTTAAAGAAAAACAAATATTCGGCAAGTTAATAGCAGTCAAAGTAAGTCACAACATATAAATGCAAAGCAACAGAGGTTTTTTTTTTGTTTACAACAAACTTAAAGCTCTAAAGGGAAAGATATAACTAAGAGCTTAAGGGAAAACACTCCGAACCAGAGTGTCCAAGAGTTTATGTCAACTCAATTTTTATATTCAACTCCCTCACTCTTACTCTATAACAGAAGAATGTTTTTTGGGAGTGCTGAGAGGGCAGGTGAACAACTATTTCAAGTCTACTATGTAATAGGCACTAGGCTCGGAATATTTTACTTCATTCCAATAAAATCCTATAACATCATCTCCAATTTACAGATCAGGAAATGAGTCTCAGAGGCTAAGCAACTCATCTCCAGTTACATAGCCTGTGAATGACAGATTAAACCCAGGTGTATCTGATTCCAGTGTTTATGCTTCTCAACTAGATTATCATGTTCCCAGGCTTTTTAGGTGTGATCCCAGAAATGATAATTATTTTATTATAGAAAAAGAACAAAGAGAGCCTATAATGATAGCTCATTATATCTTCTGATTTTTCAGTCTAATTCTGAAACACTATACCTTATAAAGGATATACATACAGTTTCAAAGGTGAAAATAGTATTTTTAAAATTTTTAATTTGTGTATTTATTTAATAGACACGTTGTAACTGTACATATCTATGGGATACCATTTAATATTTCAATACATATCTATGTGTATAGTCATTCAATTATAGTAGTTAGTATATCTCCTTTTGGATTTGTCATTTCTTCGTGGTGAGAACATTCAAAAGCTTCTCTTCTAGATACTTTGTCATATGCAGTATTTTACTGTTAGCCAGTCACTCTACTTTGCAATAGAACAGCAGAATTTATTCCTCCTATCTAATTGTAACTTTGTACCTACTGACCAACCACTCCCTCGTACACCCCTTCCTCTTTCCCTCCTGAGACTCTGGTATCGGCTGTTGTGCTCGGCTCCTATGATATCAACTTTTTTTTAAGATTCCGTATGTGAGTGGGATCATGCAGTATTTATCTTTCTATGCCTGGCTTATTTTACTTAACATAACAACCTCTGGGTTCATCCATCTTGCCACAAATGGCGGGATTTCATTTTAAATGTAAAATAGTATTAGATTGTATATATATATCATATTTTCTTTTTTTCTTTCTTTCTCTTTTCTTTCGTTTTCACTCTCTCTCTTTTTTTCTTTTCTTTCTTTTTCTTTCTTGAGACCTGTCTCCCAGGCTAGAGTGCAGTGGCATGATCATAGCTCACTGTAACCTTGAACAGGAATTCAAGGTTAGGCTCAAGTGATCCTCCCACTTTGGCCTCCCAAAATGCTGGGATTACAGATGTGAGTCACCACACCTGGCCTGTTTGCCACATTTTCTTTATTCATCCATTGATGGACATTTGGGTTGACTCCATATCTTGGCTATTGAAAATAGTGCTGCAATAAACATGGGAGTGCAAAGATCTCGCTGACATACAGATTTCTTTTCTATTGAATGTATACCCAGTGGTGGGATTGTGGGATCATATAGTAGTTCTATTTTCAGTTTGTTGAGAAACCACTGTGCTGTTTTCCATAATGGCTGTGCCAGCAAACAATCCCACCAACAGCGTGTACGTGTTTCTTATTCTGCACATTCTCATCAGCGCTTGTTTTCTTTTGTCTTTTTGATCATAGTCATTTTAACTAATGTAAGGTATCTCATTATGGTTTTGATTTGCATTTCCCTGATGATTGGTGATATTGAGCATTTTTTCACATATCTGTTAACAAATCTGTATGTCTTCTTTTGAGAAATGTCTATTAAGGTCTTTTGTACATTTTTAAATCAGGTTATTTATTTTCTTGCTGTTGACTTGTATAAGTTCCTTATATAGTCTTCATAGTAACGTTTGTCAGATGTATACTCTGGAAATCATTTCTCCCATTCTGTAGGTTGTCTTTTCACCTTGATAATGGTTTCTTTCACTATGCAAAAGCGTTTTAGTTTGATATAACAGCATTTGTTTGTTTTTGCTTTTTTGCCTGTACTTTTGAGGTCTTATTTTAAAAATCCTTGCCCAGCCTAATACCATGAAGTATTTATCCTATTTTTTCTTCTAGTAGTTTCACAGTTTCAGGTCTGACATTTAAAGTCTTTAATCTATTTTGAGTTGATTTTTTTAATATACTGAGCGATAAGGGTCTAGTCACATTCTTCTGTGTGTAGATACTTAATTTTCCCAGAGCCATTTATTGAATAGACTTTTTCCACAACAATCAGTTGACTGTATATGTGTGAATTTATTTCTGAGCTCTCTTTTCTATAACCTTAGTCTATATGTCTATTTTTATGCCCAGACTCTATTCTTTTGGTCAGTATAGTTTAGTATTATATAATGTATTTCTGTATTTATGTATACATAATAATTGCAAATATTTCTGGAGTAGATGTGATAATTTGTAGTGTACTTTGAAGTAAGATAGTGTGATACCTCCAGCATTATTTGGGTATTTTGTGGTTCCATGTTAATTTTAGGACTGCTTTTTCTATATCTACAAGAAGTGACACTGGAATTTTGATAGGGATTACATTAAAATTGTAGCTCTCTTTGATAGTATGGCCTTTTTAACAATGTACATTTTTTTCAATTCATAAACATGGGATATCTTTCCATTTATTTGCATTCTCTTCAATTTTTTTCATCAAAGTTTTATAGTTTTCAGTGTCGAGATATTTTACCTCCTTGATTATGTTTATTCCTAGGTATCTTATTTTTAATAGCTATTATAAATGGAAATGGTTTTTAAATTTCTTTTTCAGATGGTTCACTATAGCATATATAAATGCTGCTGATTTCTGTATGTTGATTTTGTATCTTGCAACTTTACTTAATTCATTACTTCTAAAAGATTTTTTTTTTTGCTGACATATTTAGTTTTCTATATATAAGATCACATTGTCTACAAGCAGGAACAATTTGATATTCTCCTTTCTATTTTGGATGTCTTTTATTTCTGTCTCTTGCCTAATTGCTCTGGCTAGGACTTCCAGTACTGAGTTGAATAGAAATGGTGAAAGTGGGTATTCTTGACTCGTTTCTGATCTTACAGAAAAAGATTTCAGTTTTTCACCTTTAAGTGTAATGATACCTATAGGTTTGTTATATAAGGCCTTTGTTGTGTTGAGGTACATACCTTCTATACCTAATTTTTAGAGATTTTTTTTTTTCTCTCATGAATGGTTATTGATTCTGTCAAATGCTTTTTCTTCATCTTTTGAAATGATTGTATGCTTTTTGTCTTTTTGTTAATATGGTGGATCAAATTTTTGTATTTGCGTATGTTAAATCATCTCTGAATATCTGGCATGAATCCCACTTGATTACCATGAATGATCTTTTTAATGCACTGTTGGACTTGGTTTGCTAGTATCTCAGTGAGAATTTTTATATCTGTGTTCATGAGGGATATTGACCTATAATTTTGTTGTTATTTTTGTTGTGTTTTTATTTGGTTTTGGAATTAGGCTAATGTGGACCTCATAAAATGGGCTTGGAAGTATTCCCTCCTTTTTAATTTTCTGGAGTATATATAAAAGAATTGGTATTTATTCTTCTTTAAATGTTTGGTAGACTTCAGCATGGAAGCCATCAATCAGGTCCTGGGCTTTTCTTTGATAGAAGACTTTATTACTGATTCAATTTCCTCACTTGTTATTGGTCTGTTCAGATTTTCTGTAACTTCATAATTTAATCTTAGTACATTGTGTGTCCCGGAATTTATCTACTTCTTCTATGTCATTAAATTTGTTGGTGTATAGCTATTCATAATAGTCTCTTATGATCCTTTGTCTTTTGTGATATCAGTTGTAATGTCTCCTTTTTCATCTCTGATTTTATTTATTTCAGCCTTCTCACTTTTTTCTTAGTCTAGCTAAAGATTTTTCCATTTTATTTATCTTTTTAGTAAGTCAACTCTGTTTTGTTGATTTTGTGAATTGTTTTTTAGTCTCTATTTTGTTTATTTCTACTCTGCACTTTGTTATTTTCATCCTTCTAATTTTAGGTTAGTTTGCTCTTTTTTTTCTTGTTTCTTGAGCAATATTTTTAGGTTACTATATATCTTTATTTTTGAGGGTAGACATTTGTTGCTATAAACTTTAGATCTTAGATCACATGGGTTTGATATGTTTCCATTCTCATTTCTCTCAAGGAAATTTTTAATTTCCCTTTCAATTTCATCATTGACTCATTGGCTGTTTAGGAACATGTTGCTTAATGTTCACGTACTTGTAAAGTTTCCAGAGTTTTTCTAATTGTTGACTTCTAGATTTATACCATTGTGGTCAGAAAAGATACTTGATATGATCTCTACATTCTTAAATTTGTTAAAAATTGTGTTGTGACCTAACATGTGCTCTACCTAGAAAATGTTTCATATGCAGTTAAGCCGAAAGTGTATTCCGCAGCTGTTAGATGGAGTGCTTTGTAAATATTTTTTAGGGCCATTTGGTCTATGGTGCAGTTTAAGTCTGCTGTTTCTGTTAATTTTTTTGTCTAGATGATGTGCCCATTGTTGAAACTGGAGTGTTGAAGTGCCCTGCTTTTATTGTTTCACATCTCTCTCTCCCTTTATGTCTAATAATATTATTTGCTTTATATATTTGGGTGCTTCATTGTTGGGCACATATGTATTTACAATTGTTATATCCTCTTGTTGAACTGATCCTTTCAGACATTTTATATATGTTCTTTTTTGGGGGGTCTTTCACTAGAGACTTACTGAGTTTATTTAGGCGTGTCATGTTTTCCTGCTTCATGTCTTTATGTCCCTACATTGATCTCTGCACATCTAGTGGAATTGTAGCTTTTTCTAATTTTATAGAGTAACTTTTATAGGAAGAGACTTTGCCTGTAGTTGACCCCCTAGAGTGTGTTTGGGTATGCGACATTGCCTTTTTTTCTAGGTAGATTATTAGTGTGATCTCTGTGCAGTTTTTTTTCAGCTGTAATCCTAATTAGTGATGTCTGTTATTACCTCAGGGGCCGAGGCTGTAGGAGTTTGTCATGATGGTGGGGCAGGATGTCTAGCAGTATGTCCAATTTCAAGATTGCCCCAAACCATAGCTGCTTTGTCTTAGGGTTGGAAGATGCTCAAGGTGGGCTTCTACTCTAAGTCAATGTAGTTGCATGTACTTCCTGTTGTTCTTCAAACTGGATTTGGACCAGGGAACTTTCAGGTAGCAAGGATGGCTAGTATATGTGGTAGCAGTGGGGACTGATGGGGATCTCTGTCTTGCTTTTTCTCCAAGAGAAGAAGTCTCCCCTGACTCTGAGCTCATTCAGGCAGGAGAAACATTGTGGCAGAGTCAGGGTGCCTTGCTCCCCTCTCTATGGTGTTATCAAGGGTTTCCATGCTTCACGAGGATGTCCCTGCTTCCCTGGGGTTCTCCAATGTACTTCCTCAGTCACTGTAGTCAAAATAGAGTTGTTTATTCATTGTTTTAATTCATTTTTGTGAGGGTAGCAAGTACCAGGTAACTCTAGTCAGCCATTTTGCTGACGTTACTGGAAAGAGAATTTGAAATAACATTTACCATAGCTTTCAGATAATATGATTTGAGTTACTGTGCCATAGAAAATGAAAATGTAACTTGCAAAATAATGTTCATTGCTTATTAGTATAATGTGTAAAGGCAAAACTCAATTTAAAAAGAGAGAAAATACACATTTCTGGTAAAAGCCTACACACATAAGGTATAGGTAAGCTTTAGTAAAGAATTGTGCTTTGAGAAACCCAAGTTGGACATCTGTGATAAGCAGGCAGGAATATAGATGTGTCTGGAGGTCAAAGCTGGGGAGTCAGGGCTGGAGTTTTTTTTTTTGTTTGTTTGTTTGTTTTTTTCATTTGAGACGGAGTCTCATTGTGTCACCAGGCTTAAGTGCAGTGGTGTAATCTCAGCTCACTGCAACCTATGCTTCCTGAGTTCAAGCAATTCTTCTGCCTTAGCCTTCTAAGTAGCTGGGATTACAGGCACGTGCTACCATACCCATCTAATTTCTGTATTTTTAGTAGAGACAGCTTTTCACCATGTTGGCCAGGATGGACTCGATCTCTTGACCTTGTGGTCCACCCGCCTCGGCCTCCCAAAGTACTGGGATTGCACGCGTGCGGCTAGAGATTTAAATTTGAGAAATCAATATGTAGATAACATGTAAAGCCATGAGACAAGATGAATCACCCAATAAAAAAAGTGTTGATAGAGAAGTGGACAGAAGACAGGAGCCTTAAGTGCAAACACATGATAACTCATTTTCAATGCCCACATTTTCTCAGACTGCTTCCCTAACATCCATGCATACATGCACATACAAACACACAAAGATGACAGTTGTACTTCTAGTATCTAGTTGAATTCAGACACTGCATACACTTGTGATATGTAGTATCACTGCTAAAGATGAGACTATTAATAGACAAAGACTTCCGAAGGGTTGTTTAGAGACATTTGGAGTCACACAGAACCAATGTGCCGCTGTTTTAAGAGCTCTGTGGCATCAAATTATTTGGATTTGAATTTCAAATCCACTGTTCCTATCCAGTGGCCTTGGACAAAGTATTTAATTTTTTTTGTTGCCATTCAGTTTCGTTGTTTATGTAATAATAGTATCTACTTTATAAGGTTCTTGTGAGGATGAAATGTGCTAAAATAGGTAAAACATATGGTAGCTCACCAAATGTTCACAATTCTTATCCAAGAATTATGTAACAGAGTTTGAAGGGATCCTAGCAGCTTTCTTTTCTAAGCATCCCGCCCTCCAGGAATTCTCTCAGGGAGCTCACTACATCATGAGGCTGTTGTTTCTATACTGATGAGATCTTGGTGTTGCAGAGTCACTTTGCATGTGGAAACCAAACCTACCTCTTCTCACTGCTACACTTGGATTGTATTTTTGCATTCCAGAGAGCTACCGAATAAGTAGCCACTTGTACTGAACCTTCAGCTGCCTGGAGGCAGCTCTCCTGTCTTTTTTTCACCCTGCTCCTTTATTCTGTACACAAAATGAATTCCAGGCTTCTCATACTCCTGGGCTTCCCTCCATCTATAGATATTGCCATTTGTCAAAGTTCCTTTAAAATTTGCCTATGAAATTTGTACATCAAGACATACAAGTGCTTGTTATAGTGCAAATGTTAAGCACATCTGATTTGAGCTGAGACGGATGAAGAAAAACAGTGAATCCATTTGGTGTTTGTGATGCTTTTAGGTTTGGCAACTTTAAGAGAAATAAAGTAAAATTAGTTTAATTATTTTGCTAAGTGAAAACCTAACGTAACTTCCTAAAGTGTGTTTCTAAATTGAGCAGAACACACCTGGCCTTTTGGTGATAGGCATACCTATTTATAAATGAGTGATTTCAACATGTGGGTCATAACATATATATGAGAAAGATTCTTTCAATTTTAGAGTGCCTTTTCATTAAAGGTATCCTAGCTGGACACCTGTGAAGATTCATAATCCATTATTTATCTTGTGCATTTCTATAGTGCCTGTTGCCATAGTAACCTACTCAGACTGGGATATAAGACAATAAACAAATAAGCTTGGAAAGACCACTATAGTCACAGATACCTTGAATCATGAATACTGTACTATGATGAATAGGAAAGTTGATGATGTTCTATTGAAAAAATGATAAATCAAGATTATAAAGGCTCCTGGAACAACATACTGTAAAGGAAGACTTCTGACAACACTATTTTAAGGGCTATAGGTTCACACAGTAGGTAAAGGCTTAAAAAAAATGACCATTTTCACAATGAAATACTACTCAGCCTTTATTTTTTATTTATTTAAATTTGTAAGTTATTTCATTAGGTTCTTCTTAAGAAATAAAGAATACTAATGTGTGAAAATAAATTGCATTCATCAGGGCAAACACAGATCACAGATAGCCCTGGAGCTGAAGAATAGCTTTGAGTTTGGTAAAATTTTTGAGTCCACAGTTTTCTGGTCAACTTTGCGCTGCTCTGTAATCTCGTATTTCTCTTTTTCTTGTTGGAGATCTCACCTTCCTACTGTGTAGGTTTCTGCAGCTTCTTCTTGAAGTAAATGTCAGTAACATGTTTTGGGATTTTCACATTAGTGGTATCAATTTTGGTTGAGGTGGCAATGACCAAATTTCCAGTGTGCTCTTTGTAGAGGAACTTGATTGAGGATCAGAGGTCTAGTCATACGTAACAAGCCACTAGCCAGCTACTTCCAGAAAACCACCCTTTTGCCTCTGTGGCACCCAGTGAGGATGATCAGAATGGTCCTGGGGGTGATGCTGGCTCGCAGTTTTCTCACGTGCCAACTGAAGGGTATTTTTACAAGGCTCAACAGCTTTCTAGGCATATCATTAGTAGGATGATATCTAGGTCCTTTGAAAAGGTTAACCAGCCTGGTACTGCTATTCTGGTTACCATCAACTGGTTTTGCAACAGT